GAAAGCTTTTCTTTTCCATTTGGAAATCTATTAAACAATAAAATAATTTTCCAAGAGGAGTCAATCTCCTGTGTTGCCATTTAAAACTGGACCAGATAACATAATTTTAGAATAGGCCAAGTGAACACAACTTTTACTGGAAGGTGGGTGGCTGGAACAGAGGACTTAATTGTCTAATCCTAATTCTCATTTTTAAAAATGTCTAAGATAATCATGCTCATAATGAGGAGTTAATTTTAAAGCTTAGCCAACTTCATGTCATAACCATGACATAGCAGTATCTTTTCTCCTCCGTATTGTTATCTAGCCAACACAGGAATATTGATCCTACACTGGGAAACATTGTTTCGATGTTTATTGATTAAGCTGTATGAAGGAAATTGTGATTTTTGAATGGAAGACAGTCATGACTTATCACTTCTTGTAAATACAGGACAGTGAATAAAGATGAATATCACACTAAACAAATATTAAAATTATTAATTTGTTAAGATAAACATTAATACCCCTAATAAGTTGTGTGAGACAATCCTATATAACAAGGACGAACTTAAATTTTTACCATTTTCCATCACAAGTGTTCTGATTTTATAGGAGTCTAAAAATTTGCTAACTTACATCACTTTTAGCTTATATTTTATTTTATAAACTCAGTATCGCATCACAGAAAAACAAGTTGAAATGTGTCCCAAACATTTTTTAAATCATCACAAATGTTATCTTAAACTCTAACTAATCATCCATTTAAATTGAAATGTCATCTTTTTACAATCTACATTTTACTTAAAGGCAAAAATCACACTTATTACCAGTTACAAATTATCATGCAAATCTGTAAGAAGTTGACATCTGGTGAAGTCTGTACCTTGTGTCCTGTCATGAAACAACACTCATTTTGTTGTAATATTCATTTCAAATGCTAATTTTTTCTTCATTAGAATGGCAGAAAAGAAATAGTATACTATTAATATTCTTATAAAGAATATGCTGCTGAATAAGAATTTTTCAAAAATACTTTCAAGATGGATATTTAAATTTTGCAAATGCTTCGTAATCTTATTAATTAGGTACAGGAAACTGTCTGTTAAAAGCATTAGACACAGGCCAGAAAAACTAAGCAAGGACAGGTAACGTATACACATTCTTCATAGGCTACCTAAAATATTTATCAAATTCAGCTTAATAATTTCTTAAAAGTTTAAATATCACAAAAATAAGTAAAAAACATTCTAGTTATTGTGACAGTATCATATGGTTAGTGACTTATTTGGGCCAAACTTCCTATGATTGCTTTCAGATGAAAAAGGCAATTTTCATATAATTAAATTTCCAATATGACCAAATGAATCCACTACTCATTTAAAATATTTAGCATTTTAAAAAAGCATGTCGTTCAGGCTGGCAGTGAAGATGGAAAAGTAAAATCCAATTCCAACACAATAATGAAACTCCACTCCTCACCCCCGACAAATTTTTAAAAAAGACTTTTTTTTTTTTTGCTTTATATCAGCAGAGGGCAGATCTTTTGAGTACATACGGTTCCTAGGAAAGCAAAAGACTAGTTTCAAATCTAGAAAACATTTTATCAACTTGCTGTTAGGATTCAACAAAGAAGTTCAATATCAGCTGAAAAAGAGGTAGAACAAAACTATGAGCCATCCAAAGGAGCAAATTATAATCTGTCCTTTTTGATACATGCTGGGGTGGGACCTTGTGGTAAGATTGGGGAATGTTTCAATTTAGATCTACCCTGCTCAGCCACTCTGTTTTCCTTTCACATCCTAACCCCCCTTGTGCTATAAGGCTGGCAAGGGCTCTAAGAATGGGGGGAATGTAAACAGCCTTTTATTGTCCAAAAGGATGGCAGTGTAAGGAATGTGTGCTTATCACAGGGCTGCAGCTCCCACCTCACTTACCATGATAAAGTGCTCTGGGAAAAAAACATTACAACCCAAGCACAATCCAAAAATGGATTAGAATTTGACATAAGCTTTCTTAAAAACTAATCAATCAAGCTATGCTGTAATGTTAGAATCTAGCTCTTAAGGAGGGTGTATAATCCCTTCAAGATCCCTATAGACTATGGTAATATGGAAAAAAAAAAATCTAACATTTCCAGTATAGCAGCTTATAGGAGAACTTTTACCCAACATATGTCAAAATATATTTCCTCATCTGTAAGAGTCTAAAACAGTGTTTATGGAGCAGATACACAGATAATGATCATTAAACGCAAAATTAATGAACTAAGATTCATGAAGATATTCTGAAGACCCTACATAAGTACCTGATTTCCCCAGGCTCTTCCTTTACACATGCCATATAAATACCGCTTTGTTTGATCACCTTTCATTAGAATCCAGACCGATATTTTTTTTAAGCAATTGATACTAAGGATCAATGTGGTATATATTTTAGATTTATGATGCCTAAGATGTAAAATTTATTTTAACATGCAGTATTGTAGCCAGTACGTGCTAGCTCATTCAAGGACATTTGAGAAAATCTCTGCATTTTCTTCTTGATGCCATTGAAGAATTTCTGAGTTAACGCTGTGGAGGTGAAGCTAATCTCTGCTGTAACAAGAATGGACAACCAGCCCTTCCGCGGCCTCTCTCCTTCACCTTTGAGAATCTCTTCCACCCTCAAAACTTGCAAAGTGCCTCAGGTTCTACAATGTCATACATATCATAGAGAAACTTTCATAAGTTACTTGATTTTTCCCTCTAAAAACAAGAGAGAGGGAAGGGGGGTAGAAAGGGGAAGAGAGAGATAGAGACAGAGAGAGACTGTCATTTTTACCTAACTGCTTGGACAATGTCTTAAGTGTGAGGACCAAAGAAACCCTGGCATCAGGAGAAAGCCCTCTTAATAGCACCGCATCAAGAAAGGTGCCAAGTGACCAGGAGAAATCCATCACAGAGGCGGACAAAGCCAAAGCATTCCCTGTCTATAATTTTACTTTCAAAGTTTCTTCCTGAAGGTCTTACTTTGGATGTCCCTTAAATATAATTCACTGGCAATGCATACAGTTTATAGGTATACACCGAGAGCAGGAGAGCGTGGCACCTGGCGGGGAGAGCTGAGAGAGTCACAACGCGCACCCTGAGCCACCTTTGAATACCCTTCAAGCTCCTCGGTGCCCCGAGCGGTCCACACCAGGCGGGAGAGGTTTCGCGGGAAAGACTCAGAGATGCCCAGGAGGGGTCTCCTCCTGGAGTTAGGCGTGAAAGTTACATCCTACGTCTCCAACTGGCAGAAAACCCTATCCCAGTCCCCAGCGCCAGACGGAAAACGAAGAGAAATCCAAGCTGTCCCTAAAATCGGTCGTTTGCCTAAGTTTCTCCCCACCAAGGCGCCACTACCTGGCCCTGCGAACGCGGAGGCACGATGCTCTGCTTTGGAACAAGTGTTTGTGGGCATCTGAGCAAAACAGCACGTGAAAAATAAAAACCACCAAAAAGGTGTTTCAGCCTATCCTCATCATATCCATCTACCGCCGTCCTCTCATTGACCGCTTATCGATAAACCTCTTCCTTCTCCCGCACCTTCTTCCCTGCTCCCTTCTGCCTACTTTACCCCAGCCCTCGTCCCAACCCTTGCTGAGCCCTTCACCGCCTCTAGTCCCTCTACTCCATTCCTCGATTTTTCCCCTTCCACCTCTAAGGCAACCCTAAACTCCTTCCACTCCGCGCGCCCCTAGCAGCCCCGGGCTCAGCTTCCGAGTCGGCCGCCGGCGCGGTTTTCCCGCCGAAACGCGTCCCCAGCGCGTGGGGCGCGCGGCGGGCCAGGCACTCACCAGCTGCAGCAAGCCGGGGACCACGACGAGGGGCAGCGGCCGCAGGCGCATGGTGCCGGCTGGCGCGGCTTCTCAAGAGCTGCGCGCCCTCGCCTGCCTCTCGCGCATCGCCACTTCGGGGGGCAGGACTGAGGATGCCGGGGACACGGCGCGGCGCTTCCCTCCTGGAATCCGAGCGCAGGCAGCGCCGCGCCGCTCGGGCCGGTGGGCGGGCGGAGAGGGGGAGGGCGGGCGGACGGGAGGTGCCGCTCCGGGTCCCCGCGCCCTTCCTCGGAGGGGGCCGGAAAGGAGCGTGCGGGGCCGCTCGCGCTCGGGCACGCAGTGCGGGTTCCAGCCGCCCCCGGGACTTCGGCTTGAGCTGCGACGCGGGGCGAGAGCGGGGGGCGCCCGCGGGCCAGAGGCGGCGGCTCGGGAGCTTTGGTGCCGGGTTCCCGCGCGAGGCTGCTCCGATCCCGCCGGGAGGCTGCCTGGCAGAACTGAGCGCTCCTGGCCAGCCGAGCCCCGGAGCCCCGCGAGGCCGGGCGCCTCTTCCTGCCCCCGCCCAGCAGAGGGCCGGTCCGGGTGGCCCGGCGATGCCAGGCGCCCTGCACACTGACTGGCTCTCGCTTTGCCTGGGGAGGTTGGGGGTGGAGCGGGGCGGGGGAGAGGAAGGGTTCTCCCTGGGTGGATGCAGGGAGTGCGCCGGAGGGCGCCCTGGAGAGTTTAGAGGGGAAGGCGATGGCAGGGTCCTGGGGCGGGGCGTGGGGGCTGCGAACTGGAAAGGCTGGGGCGGGGAGCTGTGGCTGGAGCCCAGGACGCCCGGGAGAGCGCCTACTCCGCAGCGTCGCCAAGCTCGCAGAGCCGCGGGCAAGGGGTGCAAAGTGTGCTTGGTACTGCTGGGAGGATTTCCGGAGTTGATAAGTAATGGGGACCTAGAGGTACCAGCGGCAAGGCTGTGAGAAACCGAACCAGGTGTAGAGATCCGGCTTACTCCGGTTTGAGGATGGTATAGACAGCTAAGTGTCCTGAAGAGCGACGGAATTGCGCAGCGGGGACCTTCTTCCCCGGTGTTGGAGAAGCGGAATAAAGACAGGAGACCCCTCCGCAGCCTCCCACTCCGGAAATCGTGGAGAAGGGTATTTTCGAGGCCAGGCGAGGCTGCAGACCTGGCACAGTGAGCCTCGACCTCCGTGTTAACTCTCCATTGGAGAGATCCTTGATCCTTCACCTTTAACTATGTTTGTGCTGTACACTCAAGCAAAGTCAAGGCAAAGTCAAAGGCAATGGGGCTCGCAGACCCACACTACGTTTAAAGGGGCTGAGAATTTAGGCATGATGTATCAACCCCTTTATTGAACAGTTGGGAAACCTAAGGTCCAGAGAGCCAAACACACTTCTCCAAGGATGAGACGCTAGGCAGCTGCTCCAACAGAACAGGCAAGGCAAGGCTAGTTCCTACATCTATTATAGAAACGCAAAGCTCTTGCAGAAGAAAAACAAGCGGAGGCAAGGGAGTAGAATTGCAATTGATTTCTAGGCTTTAAAGAATGAAACACAACAAAAAGCGACGTTTGTATTGCAATTGTAGGACAGAAAAGTTTCCTTTTCCTCTTCTTACCACCCTCACCCCAAAATAGAAAATGAAGAGGGTGGGGGGGTTGCTAAGTCTTTTAGTGGTCCAGGACCACATTTGAAGCAGAGCAGCCTTGGTCCTAGGTTTCAAAGGCAGGAGGATTGATCTGAGTAGGGCAAAGTCCTACTCTTCCTTTCACTGGGTGCCAAGATCATGCAGATGAGGAGGGAGGTTATTCCAGAGTGTTCTGGAATCCCAGTGTAAATTTTAGAGTGTGTTGTCCCTGAGGCTGCAGGTGGGTTTCTCTCCAATGCAATTCCATTCCATGTAGGGAGGGAGAGAGAGGCGAGCAAGGCCATGTGGCCTTCCTTACTCCTTGCTGAGCCTGACTGCCCGTTCTGTGGCAAAGGATGCACAGGCCCTGTCCCACTTCTACTTGTCTTCAGACTCTTCCTTTGCCTTGCAATGGACTCAAAAACAAACAAAATCACCATTTACATATCTAAATCCGTAACTCACCCTCTCTGCCCTTCACTCCCAGAAAAAATTTTCTCTCTTTACCAAGGCTTAGAGTACTACCACTTCTAGAAAATTATTCTGTCCTAGAAGCATAAATAAACAGATTTCATAAATTGAAAGGCTCTTTATAGGCTGATCTTCTTGCCCAACTTTGGGCCTCTGGATAGTGCTGCATTTTATTTACAGACACCTTTTGGAAACAAAAAGGACTTAGCTGGGAAGGGTGTAGCAGGAGGAGAGGAATCCCTTTCTGAAGAGGTGCAGCTAGAAGGGAAAGGAAGCAAACTGCTTTGCAAGAGGCAGTGTTTCGTTTAGACTCAGTGTCTCTGCCTGGGCCTCAGCAGACTCATGTCTGCAGAATTGGAAGGTGAGAGCTCGTCTCCATTTAGTGGTTTGCAATTCTGTTATCACTAACTCTAAATGAAGAGGGCATGACTTAAGACATGATCAAATAAATTGTGGGGTTTAATTACCAAAATACTTTTTCCCCTCAATTTGTTCATCTTTCTTAAGTCGTTTCTGTGCTTTTGGGAAACTTATACATAAAGTTTAAAAGTAGCACCAAAACTTGGCTATGTGCCCTTGTAACACTAAGTATTCTCACAAAGCAACATGCCAAGGTAAAAGCCAAGGGACATGTGAGAACTTGCATGTCCCAGTGACCAGCCTGTGTAAAAGGGAAGCACCAAGGACCCCACTGGTATCACTCTGTGTATTTATAAAGTGACTGCTGATCTTACTGATTTCCCCAAATTTTGCTGTGTAAACTACAGGAAAGTAAAGAGAAGGAAGGGAAAGACGGAGGAAGGAAGAAAGAGGGAGGGGAAGGGGAAGATGAAAAAAGGGTGGGAGGCAGAAAAATAAATAGAAGCATTTAATACGTTGTCCTCCAAAAGCATGCATTCTGGAAAGCATGCAATAAATAGAACACAGTAGACAATACAGGAAAATATATGTAAGTGCTGCTTAGTACAGTTGGAAAAAGAAAAGATCATCGTTGGCCAGCACGAGTGCTTCTTGGAAGAGGTGAAATGTGAGTTGGCTCAGATTCCAAGAATGGCCAAGACTGGTGTACATGGGAGAAAATGAGGATGGCCGTTGCACATGGAGGAACCGCGTGAGCAAAGGCAGAGCAGAGGCCTTCACAGGGCATCGTTGAGGGATGAACAATAAGCAGCAGACCAGACTGACTGGAATAAATACATTGGGGAAAAGTGAGAAGAAAGATAAGTCGACAGCCACAGTGTAGAGACCTGGGAGTGCCATTTAGACTTAATGTGCCGGAAATATGGAGTCTTAAACCTTTTTTGGAGTAGACAAGTCATACGTCAAGAGGCATAAAGATACATGCAGTGGGCATATGCAGGATGGTCTTGAGGAGGTGGCATGAGGAGATGGTCATGGTAGTTGGAAAGAAAGGAATGGAGAGAGGTGGGTCCAAGAGCTACTGGAAAGGGACAGTGAACCGAACTTGGAGTTTGAATATGTTAAAACTTTCCTGGCATATGAGAGGAATTGTTTTTTAAACATCACCATTTTCTCTCTCTCAGTGTCAGTTGAATAACTAGAGAATCAGATCATTGCTTTCTCATTTCGCAAGGGTGATTTTCACAGTGTGAGGGGAATGAGAATGGTCTTTTCACAAAGACCTGTAGCAGAAAGTGTAACCCTCCAAATTTTACTGCCACATGATTCCATTGTAGTCTTTTAAAAAGGCAACTTGTAGGGATATGTTCAATGCTTTCTGAGTAAATTTGTCAACTTGTAGCTCATCCAGACCATTAGCTTTTTCTTGCGCTTCTCCTCCGTACTTAACTTTCTCATCCGTTACTGTTCATTAGCATCATTGCTGAAACCGGATGAGAAAATAGTATGCAGTGTGGGATTTCAGAGTCACGGTGGATATTAGATATCATCCAATTGTCTCACTTTACATTTAAGGAAACAGAGCTTGGAAGTTTATGTGATTTGCTTTCAGGTCACCCAGAGAGGAATGGGCAAATCTGTAACTTGATTCAAGGCCCTGAGATCCTCAGTGCACTGCTCTTTCTGGTTTATCACACTGCCTCCGGTGTTTTTCAACTGGACAGCAGTTATAAAAGTTTCGATGTAGTGAACAAATGAACCTCTAGCTAATAAGAGATGTGGGAATGATCTGTGGATGCTAAAAGCCACAGTGTTTATCTCATTATTAGAAAAAGAGATTTGACTATATTGAAATTGAAGCATTGATCTGGCAATCATTTCAGAAGAATGAGAGGGAAAGAGAAACGACACAGTGTAGGGCTCCTATGCAGGAGTCTTGAGAGGAGTAGGACTCAGGATTCCAAAACATGGCAGCACTAACCCTGAGGGTAGAGAGAATTCTCAGGGACCATTCCAGCCTCTTAAGACCTCTGCCATAAGAAGAGCTGGTGGGCTTTTTGGTAACAATTCTTAACTAAAATCCTTTTGAGTGGCCACTCTTCTTGAGTAATTGAATATGCTTGAGTCACTATTTAATAGAATGTGATGCTGTATTGTATTGAATCTCAATGCTGATTGCACAATAGAATCACTGGGGACTTTAAATATCCCTGAGAGTGGTCTTGAGCATTGATATTTTTTCACCCAGGATATTTCAACATACGGCTGTGGTGGAGCACTACTGCTCTGCCAGAAACTTGGGTTTGTTTTCTCCTTCCTTCCTCCCTCCATCCCTTTCTTCCTGCCTGCCTTTCTTCTTCCCGCTACAGAATTGTAGCCTGAGCAGTTGGAACACACTGAGGCTTTACCAGAATATCTTTAGGACCTATTTACATTCTTGGTTATGTAGGACCTTCTCACGAGAGAGAACTGGACGTTTTCTTTGTAAATATTTGGCATGCTTGGGGGATTTGTAAAGTTCCATTGCATAAATTCTTCATTTGTTCCAGGCTTAAACACATCATTCATCTGTAGTGAAACTGCTTCTTTCCCCACCTTTGGTGGCTGCAACTACCTCTTCATTATCTCTTCCCTTGGATGCTAGAGGAAATAACAGGAGTGTGTTGATGGTTGACGCAACTGTCAGCAGCGAAGAGGAGAGGCTAGAGGGGAAGAGAGGCAGGCAGGATC